ATAGAGAGAGAGAGAGAGAGAGAGAGAGAGAGAGAGAGAGAGAGAGAGAGAGAGAGAGAGAGAGAGAGAGATGGATAGAAAGAGAGAGAGAGATAGAGACAGATGGAGAAAGAGAATATCACAATACAAGAGGTATTTAAACGAATTTAGGCAGAGAGAGAGATCAATAGATAGATAGATAGATAGATAGAGAGAGAGAGAGAGAGAGAGAGAGAGAGATGGATAGAAAGAGAGAGAGAGACAGAGACAGAGGGAGAAAGAGAATATCTTCACAATACAAGAGATGCATTTAACCGATATCGAATAAATCTCCATTTCTGACGAAGATATATTCGAAACCGGTTAAATGCATCTCTTGTATTATGAAGGTATTCATTCTCATTCGTACCCAGATATGTCTGCGTGTTTACATATATACATACATACATACATATATATATATATATATATATATATATATATATATATATATATATATATATATATATATGTGTGTGTGTGTGTGTGTGTGTGTGTGTGTGTGTGTGTGTGTGTGTGTGTGTGTGTGTATGGGTGTGTGTATGTGTGTGTATGTGTGTATATTGGGTGTGTGTATGTGTGTGTGTTTTGTGTGTTTGTGTGTGTGTGTGTGTTTTGTGTGTGTGTGAGTGTGTGTATGTGTGTGTTTATATATATACATACATATATATATATATATATATATATATATATATATATATATATATATATATATATATATATATATATATATATATATATATATATATATATATATATATATATATATATATATATATATATATATATATATATATATATATATATATATATATATATATTATATATGTATATATATATATATATATATATATATATATATATATATATATATATATATATATATATATATATTATATATATATATATATATATATATATATATATATATATATATATATATATATATATATATATATATATATATATATATGTATATATATATTTATCCATTTTCCCCCTTCTCTGTCTTCTCTTTTTTTTTTTTTTTTTTTTTTTCGTTTCTTCTCTTTTCTCGCAGATGGCGTAACTGCCCAGGGACGGGTCTCCCTGCGGGCCAAAGGACACGGGAGGGGGAGAGTTCGTCAGTTTTTCTGTTTCCCTTTCCCTCCGTCTTGCTTCTGGGTCGAGCGCTCTGCCTTTGCTCTCGCTCCTTCCTTTGCTTCTCCTCCCTCCTTCTCTCCTCTGCTTCCCTCTCCTTTCGCTCGTTCTGCCGCTCAAGCCTTCCCCCTCCCCTCTCCGCCCCTTCTGGTTCTTCCGCTCCTCCTTCCTCTCTCTCTGTCGCTGCCTCTGCCTCCCTCCGCCGGAGACCGTCGAGCACGCCTCCTTCATGTGCGCCACCAGCTGCTGCAGCCCCGTCGGGCCCGCCCGCGTGGTGGTCACGGGCTGCTCGAGGGTCAGAGGGTGCCAGCGGCGCGGGAGGCCCTCCAGGAAGTCGGCCCTCATGGGTCCGGGGCCGGCGACCACGACGGCGTCCACGGCAGGAGAGGAGTCCTGCGCGAGCAAGGCCCTCTCCATGCGCTCGTAGACGACCCGGAGGTGGCTCTGGCGGCTCTCTTCCGCCAGCCGGGCGAAGCGGTCTGATATATATATATATATATATATATATATATATATATATATATATATATATATATATATATATATATATATATATATATATATATATATATCTCTCTCTCTCTCTCTCTCTCTCTCTCTCTCTCTCTCTCTCTCTCTCTCTCTATATATATATATATATATATATATATATATATATATATATATATATATATATATATGTATACACACACACACACACACACACACACACACACACACACACACACACACACATATATATATATATATATATATATATATATATATATATATATATATAGGGCGAGAGAGGGCGAGAGAGGGCGAGAGAGGGCGAGAGAGGGCGAGAGAGAGAGAGAGAGAGAGAGAGAGAGAGAGAGAGAGAGAGAGAGAGAGAGAGAGAGAGAGAGAGAGAGAGAGAGAGAGAGAGAGAGAGAGAGAGAGAGAAGCACGCTTCATTACACGCAGAAAGCAGGTAGAAAGGAGGCTCGAGCGAAACAGCGCGGCATAAAACGGGGAACTTTCAGGGAAGGAAGCACCTGCGCAGGGAACGTCACATAGCTTGCAGCTGCTTTGTCAACTTGTCTGCAATGAACTCTGAGTAGTGTTTTGCCATCCAGGATGATTGCACAAGCGTCGGCGCAGGTGAGAACGCGCACCTGAGGGAGCCCGTCATCAGGGAAGCCAGATGACCGAAATTCGTCTGCGTTTCGGAAAACGGTGAACACTGACGTCACGTTGCTGCGTTTATTTACGGAAACCTATATTTTGGATCTGTTTAGGGGAAGGATAAAAAGACATTTGAGGCAAATTATATTAAAGGCATTAGAATTCCTCCTATTTCCTACTTACACGAAAATATCCGCCAGAATCTTGTGCGAATAGGCCGTTTCGAATTCGCACAACACTAGTTCGAATCCTCGTTGACGAACTTTACTCACATTCTCAGTCTCTTTACTATCTATATACATTTGATACAAAAATCGACACCTTTATATTTCAACTTTTATTTATCTATCAAAACCCCAAGGATTTATCAATTTCCTTTTTGTATGATTGCCCTTAATCTAAAGAAGAAAATGGAAATTAAGGATACGGAATGCAGGCAATTAGACTGCCAGACATAGTTGCTATGATTATAAGGTAGATTTTGCTGTGATATTGCTGTTGTCTTGATTTGTCTTTTATGTCATACATGCAGCTCATGGTTTCTGGCTTAATCATTATCAGAATATGTTTAGTTTGTATCTCCTGTGTTTGTCTGTGTGTGTTTGCGTGCGTGTATATTTATATGTGTGAATTTGAATGGCAAAATACCGCTTAACAAGATGGCAATATGACTAAACAGATAAGTAAACAATAAAAAATGCTATGACATAGAAGGTAGAAAGGGGGGGGGGAGGGAGAGGGACTGAAGAAAAAAGAGAAAGAGAGAGAGAGAGAGGTGTATGGGAAGATAAAAGGTGAACTAATAAACAATGTACCAGCTCCTGATTTTGATATTGCTCTATATCAGTTATGAACTATGTCGCTTTTCATTTTATGAGGGAGGGAGGGAGGGACGAGGGAGGGATGGAGGAAGGGGGAGAGAAAGGGAGGAAGGAAGGGGGAGAGAAAGGAAGGGAGGGAGGGAGGGAGAATTCTAGTCTCTATGTCTCCAGTCTGGTTGAATTTTCACGGTAAATAATAAATATTAGACGTTTAAAATAAATTCAGATAGAAATCTACATACGGACAAAGATCGATAGAAATGAGAGAGAGAAAAAAGAAATGAGAGAGAAAAAAGGGAGGGAATCAAAGAGAGATTTTTTCGCCATACATATATCTATTGGTCAGTCAGTCCCCGCTCTCTCTATCGGTATCATCAAAATAATTTCTATCCCTTTTTCATTTCAGCATTTTCGTCGTTATCATACTTTCTCTCTCTTCCCGTTTATCACCTTTACTTCCGTCCATCTTCGGATCCCGTGACCGGAAATACATCCTTTCTGTCCAGCATTGCGATTGATGCAAGGACAATATTTTGTTGTTGTTGTTGCTTTTTCTAGCATGAGTAGATCCGCCATGTGGAATAAAAGCCACAAGACAGGAAGTTTTATATTTCAGATGACTGCAAATCGCCGCCTAGATACTCTCCTGATAAGGATAGCAACAAAACAACAATATAAATGATGAAAAGAGTAATGGCAAAAACGATGACGTTTCTGGTAGCAACATGAAACGCGTTATGATAATGACAATGATAATAAATCTGCCCAAGAGAGTGATGAAGACAAAAATTCAGGCGATTCTGCAAGAAAAAGTACAAACATATGAAGTAAAAACATCATGAAGCGCCATGTATCAGACAAGAATGAGGAAATGAAGTGGTAAAGTATTGGCACAACAACAGTATTTTACTCACAGACTCACATTTAGAATATCGTATTCTGTTAGTCAGTTAATTGCACTATAAAACGGTATGTAAACAATGTTCTACTTATAGAATTATACGTTCTTTCCTACTAAATAATAAGTGAAGAATTATATTTTTTCTATACGCCTGTTCTTTGAGGAAAAACGCATTAAATTGATGTACTACACCTTTATATATTCATTTGACAAAATTAAGAAATAATACACTGTAGATATCGTCAAAGCAGCGGGAACAATAAGACAGATTCTGTCTTTGTCTTTTGTCTTCATCGACCTAACAAACAACAGATCTCCTATCCTCGTGTTCTCTCTCTCAGCCTGTCTGTATATCTGTCTATCTATCTGTAACTCTGTCTATCTGGCAACCAACATCCTCCTCACTCGATGGCTTCGATCAACTGATTCTTCTAGATTTAAGATTTTACTTTTTTTTAGATTTTTATTTAATTTATTTTATTTATTTTTATTTATTTTTATTTTATTTTTTTAGTTTTATTTATTCATTTTATTT